GGTGTTACAGTCATCCATCAGGATACCATCAGTTGATACTTGGTGTTACAGTCATCCATCAGGATACCAACAGTTGATACTTGGTGTTACAGTCATCCATGTGGATACCACCAGTTGATAGTTGGTGTTACAGTCATCCATCAGGATACCAGCAGTTGATACTTGGTGTTACAGTCATCCATGTGGATACCAACAGTTGATAGTTGGTGTTACAGTCATCCATGTGGATACCACCAGTTGATAGTTGGTGTTACAGTCATCCATGTGGATACCAACAGTTGATACTTGGTGTTACAGTCATCCATGTGGAAACCAACAGTTGATAGTTGGTGTTACAGTCATCCATCAGGATACCACCAGTTGATAGTTGGTGTTACAGTCATCCATCAGGATACCACCAGTTGATAGTTGGTGTTACAGTCATCCATCAGGATACCAACAGTTGATAGTTGGTGTTACAGTCATCCATGTGGATACCACCAGTTGATAGTTGGTGTTACAGTCATCCATGTGGATACCAGCAGTTGATACTTGGTGTTACAGTCATCCATGTGGAAACCAACAGTTGATAGTTGGTGTTACAGTCATCCATCAGGATACCACCAGTTGATAGTTGGTGTTACAGTCATCCATCAGGATACCACCAGTTGATAGTTGGTGTTACAGTCATCCATCAGGATACCAACAGTTGATACTTGGTGTTACAGTCATCCATCTGGATACCAACAGTTGATGCTTGGTGTTACAGTCATCCATCAGGATACCACCAGTTGATAGTTGGTGTTACAGTCATCCATCAGGATACCACCAGTTGATGCTTGGTGTTACAGTCATCCATCAGGATACCACCAGTTGATAGTTGGTGTTACAGTCATCCATGTGGATACCACCAGTTGATACTTGGTGTTACAGTCATCCATCAGGATACCAACAGTTGATGCTTGGTGTTACAGTCATCCATCAGGATACCACCAGTTGATAGTTGGTGTTACAGTCATCCATCAGGATACCACCAGTTGATGCTTGGTGTTACAGTCATCCATCAGGATACCAACAGTTGATGCTTGGTGTTACAGTCATCCATCAGGATACCACCAGTTGATAGTTGGTGTTAGTCATCCATCAGGATACCACCAGTTGATACTTGGTGTTACAGTCATCCATCAGGATACCAACAGTTGATGCTTGGTGTTACAGTCATCCATCAGGATACCACCAGTTGATAGTTGGTGTTACAGTCATCCATCAGGATACCACCAGTTGATGCTTGGTGTTACAGTCATCCATCAGGATACCACCAGTTGATAGTTGGTGTTACAGTCATCCATGTGGATACCACCAGTTGATAGTTGGTGTTACAGTCATCCATCAGGATACCAACAGTTGATGCTTGGTGTTACAGTCATCCATCAGGATACCACCAGTTGATAGTTGGTGTTACAGTCATCCATCAGGATACCACCAGTTGATGCTTGGTGTTACAGTCATCCATCAGGATACCAACAGTTGATGCTTGGTGTTACAGTCATCCATCAGGATACCACCAGTTGATAGTTGGTGTTAGTCATCCATCAGGATACCACCAGTTGATAGTTGGTGTTACAGATACCAACAGTTGATGCTTGGTGTTACAGTCATCCATCAGGATACCACCAGTTGATAGTTGGTGTTACAGTCATCCATCAGGATACCACCAGTTGATAGTTGGTGTTACAGTCATCCATCAGGATACCACCAGTTGATGCTTGGTGTTACAGTCATCCATGTGGATACCACCAGTTGATAGTTGGTGTTACAGTCATCCATCAGGATACCACCAGTTGATGCTTGGTGTTACAGTCATCCATCAGGATACCACCAGTTGATAGTTGGTGTTACAGTCATCCATCAGGATACCAACAGTTGATGCTTGGTGTTACAGTCATCCATCAGGATACCACCAGTTGATAGTTGGTGTTACAGTCATCCATCAGGATACCACCAGTTGATGCTTGGTGTTACAGTCATCCATCAGGATACCAACAGTTGATGCTTGGTGTTACAGTCATCCATCAGGATACCACCAGTTGATAGTTGGTGTTAGTCATCCATCAGGATACCACCAGTTGATAGTTGGTGTTACAGATACCAACAGTTGATGCTTGGTGTTACAGTCATCCATCAGGATACCACCAGTTGATAGTTGGTGTTACAGTCATCCATCAGGATACCACCAGTTGATAGTTGGTGTTACAGTCATCCATCAGGATACCACCAGTTGATGCTTGGTGTTACAGTCATCCACCAGGATACCAACAGTTGATAGTTGGTGTTACAGTCATCCATGTGGATACCAACAGTTGATAGTTGGTGTTACAGTCATCCACCAGGATACCACCAGTTAATACTTGGTGTTACAGTCATCCATGTGGATACCAACAGTTGATACTTGGTGTTACAGTCATCCATGTGGATACCAACAGTTGATACTTGGTGTTACAGTCATCCATGTGGATACCAACAGTTGATACTTGGTGTTACAGTCATCCATCAGGATACCACCAGTTGATAGTTGGTGTTACAGTCATCCATCAGGATACCACCAGTTGATAGTTGGTGTTACAGTCATCCATGTGGATACCAACAGTTGATACTTGGTGTTACAGTCATCCATCAGGATACCACCAGTTGATAGTTGGTGTTACAGTCATCCGTGTGGATACCACCAGTTGATAGTTGGTGTTACAGTCATCCATCTGGATACCACCAGTTGATAGTTGGTGTTACAGTCATCCATGTGGATACCAACAGTTGATAGTTGGTGTTACAGTCATCCATGTGGATACCAACAGTTGATACTTGGTGTTACAGTCATCCATCAGGATACCACCAGTTGATAGTTGGTGTTACAGTCATCCGTGTGGATACCACCAGTTGATAGTTGGTGTTACAGTCATCCATCTGGATACCACCAGTTGATAGTTGGTGTTACAGTCATCCATCTGGATACCACCAGTTGATAGTTGGTGTTACAGTCATCCATCTGGATACCACCAGTTGATAGTTGATGTTACAGGCATCCATCTGGAAACCACCAGTTGATAGTTGGTGTTACAGTCATCCATCTGGATACCACCAGTTGATAGTTGGTGTTACAGTCATCCATCAGGATACCACCAGTTGATACTTGGTGTTACAGTCATCCATGTGGATACCACCGGTTGATACTTGGTGTTACAGTCATCCATCTGGATACCACCGGTTGATACTTGGTGTTACAGTCATCCATCTGGATACCACCAGTTGATACTTGGTGTTACAGTCATCCATGTGGATACCACCAGTTGATACTTGGTGTTACAGTCATCCATGTGGATACCACCGGTTGATACTTGGTGTTACAGTCATCCATCTGGATACCACCAGTTGATAGTTGGTGTTACAGTCATCCATCAGGATACCACCAGTTGATAGTTGGTGTTACAGTCATCCATCTGGATACCACCAGTTGATAGTTGGTGTTAGTCATCCATCAGGATACCAACAGTTGATACTTGGTGTTACAGTCATCCATCTGGATACCACCAGTTGATAGTTGGTGTTAGTCATCCATCAGGATACCACCGGTTGATAGTTGGTGTTACAGTCATCCATGTGGATACCACCGGTTGATACTTGGTGTTACAGTCATCCATCTGGATACCACCAGTTGATAGTTGGTGTTACAGTCATCCATCAGGATACCACCAGTTGATAGTTGGTGTTACAGTCATCCATCAGGATACCACCAGTTGATAGTTGGTGTTACAGTCATCCATCTGGATACCACCAGTTGATACTTGGTGTTACAGTCATCCATCAGGATACCACCGGTTGATACTTGGTGTTACAGTCATCCATCTGGATACCACCAGTTGATAGTTGGTGTTACAGTCATCCATCAGGATACCACCAGTTGATAGTTGGTGTTACAGTCATCCATCTGGATACCACCAGTTGATACTTGGTGTTACAGTCATCCATCAGGATACCACCGGTTGATACTTGGTGTTACAGTCATCCATCTGGATACCACCAGTTGATAGTTGGTGTTACAGTCATCCATCAGGATACCACCAGTTGATAGTTGGTGTTACAGTCATCCATCTGGATACCACCAGTTGATAGTTGGTGTTACAGTCATCCATCAGGATACCACCAGTTGATAGTTGGTGTTACAGTCATCCATCTGGATACCAACAGTTGATACTTGGTGTTACAGTCATCCATCTGGATACCACCAGTTGATAGTTGGTGTTACAGTCATCCATCAGGATACCACCGGTTGATAGTTGGTGTTACAGTCATCCATGTGGATACCAGCAGTTGATAGTTGGTGTTAGTCATCCATCAGGATACCACCAGTTGATAGTTGGTGTTACAGTCATCCATCAGGATACCAACAGTTGATAGTTGGTGTTAGTCATCCATCAGGATACCACCAGTTGATAGTTGGTGTTACAGATACCACCGGTTGATAGTTGGTGTTACAGTCATCCATCTGGATACCACCACTTGATAGTTGGTGTTACAGTCATCTATCTGGAGGAAGTTCAGTATGTTCATTGATCACACTTCGGGTGGAGGGGCTGGGTTGCCAAGTGATTGCATGTTAGATCAACAAGCCCAGAGACCCAGAAGAGTACAATATGTGAATCCCATCCTTAGTGTACAATGTGAATAGAGCTGGAACACTACAAAAGATATTCCAGGAATTGGATGGTGGCCTGTAAATAATTCAGTCTGGACCAGACAATCAATCCACTGACTGATATTGTGAGCAATGATCCATGACTTCAGGGTGAGATATCACAGCGTCTGACCTCCCAATCCATTTGGTCACCTGTTAAGACCTGCATATGTTGCTGGGGACCTATTCTAACCCAGGATCCCACAGGGCAGATGCTTTATGAGCTTCAAGAAGCAAGTTTCCAGAACACCATATTTTAGACATCTTAGCCAATAAAAACATCAGCATAAAATATTGAAAGGACATTTATTCATGTTTGCAAATGATACAACAGCACATCAACATTGCACAGTTCTTGTAATAAATAAATAAACAGGAAAAATTGCATACATCTATACCATCCCAGAAGCCGTTTCACTCCAAGTATACAGACCACAGTAGAAATAGATAAGTAGCCCAAATATGCATGCCTCAAATGTAATACCCATTCATATCCTTGCACCAATAACAGGGTTACTCGAGGAACATCTTGAACAAGTCAGTCAATATGACACAATATTCTCCCTTTTCTCATCCAATCGCACAGCATTTGATCATGTGGTGACTAAACAAAAATATCTTTGTTAATCTTAGAGATGATTCATACCATATTTGCTATAATAAACATATTAAATGCCCTAGGTGCTTAGAAAATATATAAGGGAGAGGAGGGGGCCACTTATTACACAAGATAATTTAAAAAAAAACTTAGCTCAAATGGCAACAGAACTAAAATGTGTCCGAAAGTATTTACCAAGTAATCATACCCCTTCTACACGATTTTCTGTAAGAAATAAAATATGGAACACACATAGGAAAATAGGGACAGTCATGTAGTAGGGGCATTCACAACGACTATACTTACAAATTGATCTAGAAGTTAGTCGAGGGGAGCAGGGCCTTAATACAGCATATAAGGTAAATTATTACAGTATACAATTTTCACATAATCTTGTTCTCAACTAACATAAAAGCTACCAAATTACTGGAGACTAAAAGCATCAATACAATCTATGGTTCCTTCAGGTTGAAATAATGCCTAATCTTTGAAAAATAAGTTGGTAATGCCCCCAGACTTCACAAGGTGTCCAGTGAGGTATGAATAAATGGGCTACACGGAGATCCGCAGGCAGAGCCAGGCTTTGTCATGCTGTACAGGTTCTATACACTGCTCGTCACCACCTAGAGTCAGGTGAAAGCAGATTAGCCTCACAGGACTGTTATGTCAAATATACCACTGTTGGAAAAGCAAGTATACAAACTCTGAAAGATTCTTAAAGATGTCATACTGGATGGCAACTACAGCACATAAGGTGACAAGCAAGTTCGAAAATAATACAGACGCCTCTATTTGAATGTGTACATCATCCATGAAATGGTAAGTTTTATCAGGTATTAAAACCCATCACATGATCGCAGGCATAGTGATTCCTAAAAGATGGTCAATCACACCATATATCTAGGATATTTTACATCGTTTACATTCAGGCAAAGAGGTGTCAGGTCAGCTCGGGCACAATGCCGAAACCTGAAAAGAAACACTTGGTTATTACAAAACATCTAGACACTGAAAGCATGTACCATGTTCTTGCCACAGATTACCATCTTTCCTCTATTAAAAGTCTGGCCCAGGGGTAGGGTTTGCAAATAAGGGTGAGAGCAACTACACCTAATGTTTTTTCCCCATTACATGAAAATGAGAAAGTTTTTTAAACTGAGCTGTCATCAAGTGCTGCAAATACCAGCCTCAGACAGTCAGCTTTTACAACATGCAAGTTTTAAAGTCAGACTGAATCTTTTCTGCGTTTTTGTAGATTTAGTTAAAAAATTCATAAAAATTTGCATTTTTTAAAAGATTGTTATGAACTTAAATTAAGAAAAAAATCATGGCATTTTGAGAATGACCAAACATCAACATATCTCAGAAAATGGGCAATTATTATTTCAAGTAGAGATCAATTTTGCACAATATCAATTATTCTCATTCAGTCAAGAGTTAAAGAAATCATACAACCTTTTATGACAACTTCATCATAAACCAGAAGTTGTTATCCATAAAGTTGTATGTTTTCTCACTCACCAACTCCTAGAATGCCAATCTAACAATAAGAGTAAAAAGGTCACACTGGCAACGTTTTAGCTAGACTGGCAATTTAATAGACTAGCCAGTCAGGCTGGAATTGATCTGAATGTTAATCACTGTACCCCCTCATCTTAAAACAGATATAGAAGGACAAAGGACTGGGCCATGGTAAGAGCTAGCCTCTGACAGGGGGTTGGTCTAAATGAAGTCAATAGTGTCCAGGCTCTTTATAGAGGAAATATGGTACCTCTTCTGAGGGGAACCACTCCAGTTGTTTAACAGTAGTGTCCTATCACCAACCAATGTGTCTGCCATTTTAGCATATAACATGTGAATACTTGTGGATATAGAGAGCACAACACAATCTTCAGATTAACTTAATGGATATATACTACTCAAAAGAAGTTAAGAAACACCCACAATTGGAAAGCTGTGTTCCCATACCCACCAGTCATGTCAAAATAACGTAACTTCTCTTGAGTAGATTATATCAAACCGTTGATTGTGACAGATAATCTTTGTCTTAAAGCACTGTTGCATTTCTCACAATTGAAATACATATCTTAAAAATGTTTATAAAGACTTTCCTGTACATTAACTGGTATTAACTATGAATAAGAATTAAATAAGTTATGGAATTAGACAATTATACATAACAGAGCAATACATCAATTTTTCAAAAAAGCACTGTCAAATATCTTTGGGGTCTGTACAGATGGCAATTTGTACACACCTAACATTCAATATGAACTTTCACACTGTACAAATATTTATAACATATCACGTGTGTGAGGATCACACATCCAATATAATGCGATCGTAGCACACAAATGCATATACACAATCTCTACAATTTACATCAGGTCTACACAGCATTTGCCTGTATTTTCTTGTGGTCTGCCAGCAGACTCAAGTTCTCTCCCTTTAATCTTCAGCAAGTGGACCAGCCACACAGGTCAAAGGTTAGTAAGTCACATGATCTTGCCACTTTGAAGGTCACTTCCATCTTTTTTATTCATGATTGTACATCTCCACTAATCATGCATCCTTTCATTGCATATGTGTGCAAGTCTAAGCGATCTAGAAGCCACTGCCTCATGTGCAAAACAAGATGGACAGGCAATCATGTTTCAGGCTACTATCATAATTTCACATCATCGTCTCACCAAATCACTTAACAAGTGAATTAAGAATTAACACATTGTGGTCCTCCTTACATTTTCTCGACAAATCTAGTCCAATATAAAACACTTAGACATCTATACTGCTCAAAAAAGGTAAAGGACCACCAGATTCTTTCATGGCTGAGTGAGTGAGTGAGTGAGTACGGTTTTACGCCGCTTTTAGCAATATTCCAGCAATATCACGGCGGGGGACACCAGAAATGGGCTTCACACATTGTACCCATGTCGGGAATCGAACCCGGGTCTTCGGCGTGACGAGCGAACGCTTTAACCACTAGGCTACCTGACCGCCCCTTTCATGGCTGAAGTAATCCATCATGTCCTGATGAACTAACAGTGATATGAAAGAATTGGGTGGTCCCTAACTCTTCTGGGAGTACTTTATGGTGAATAGGCAAGAAAATGCTGACCATGCAGAAATCAGATAACAAAAGATGCAACATGTTAAAACATACTCTAGGGATGATAGGGAACCATACATTCCAGGACAAACCATACTTATGACACATAGATGTATATGGCATAAAATATTTCACTACCCCTATCAGTAGATGAGTGAGTGAGTGAGTGAGTGTGGTTTTATGCCGCTTTTAGCAATATTCCAGCAATATCACGGCGGGGGATACCAGAAATGGGCTTCACACATTGTACCCATCTCGGGAATTGAACCCAGGTCTTCGGCGTGACGAGGGAACACTTTAACCACTAGACTACCTGACCGCTCCTATCAGAAGATGAGTAGTATACATGTAAATATCATTCTTAATTCCAAATTGGCTCGAGCTAACTTCATTGAATTGTTTGTTTGTTATTTAACGCAGCATTCAGCAATATTCCAGCTATATGATGGCGGTCTGTAAATAATCGAGTCGGGACCAGACAATCCAGTGATTGACATCATGAGCATCGATCCCACAATTGGGATATGATGACATGCATCAACCAAGTCAGCGAGCCTGACCACCCGATCCCGTTAGTTGCCTCTTACGACAAGCATAGTTACCTTTTACGGAAAGCATGGGTTGCTGAAGACCTATGCTACCCACGTAACTACACTGAAGATGGGATTTCTGTTTTGTGTGACACTTTCTTGAATGGAGCCAAGAACCAGAGGAACTACAGAAGTTCACCTTTCACCTTTGCTAGATGATCAAACATTTCAATATGTCAGAGCGATCTGACATAACGCAATGATGTGGCAAGAGACAAATGTCAATTGCACATTTTCAAATTTTAGCATCTTTTGAGAGAACACTTGTCAATACCATAACCAAATTGGACTAAATCTCCAGGACATTTTGGAATACAATCCGTCAATGTCCTAGAGAAAGAACTGTTATGACACACTGAGAAAGCTGGGTACACAAACCAATGATGTCATCTAAAGGCAATTATCATGCTTATTATGCTTCCTCAGGACACACCGCGATATAACTGGAACACTGTTAAAAGCGGCGTTAAACCCAACTCACTCACTCCTTCATTAAGTCACAATTAGGCCTTACTTTTTTTGGCTTGGTTTACAGATCCGACCTTAAAAATCAAAATTCAGAAATAAAATATAACAGCATGAAAAAGTTTTGTTAACTGCTGACAATAAAGATAAATATAATCCAAGGGTTCTATATGACTAAAACAGAAAATTTCCAGCAATAATTTGTCCTTATTATTTTTTTATTACCCACCGATCAAACATTAAGATGATTAAAAAAATCCTGTACAATGCATTTATTTTTATTTTTATCGACCTACAGACCAAATGTTTCACGATCAAATCCGTAAATCCCCCAAAATGTCAGGCGTCACACAGTCACTTTACCTCAGACGGCCATACTTCAATCAAGATACAAGTTCCAGCTTTATCTAATTACACATGAGGATCTTGAAGAGAATCGGGTCAAAGGCAGTCATAGTTGGACCATCCATACGTTATTGGTCGGCTAAACCCAAACTTCTTTATGAACATCAATCTAGCAGTACCCTAACTACAACGAGATGGTCACAGTTTCACATGGGGCACGACCTACAACTTCTACCTATCAGGAATAAGACTGTGGAATATCAATCCCCCTTAAAACAAAACGTGGATGGTTGTTTTGGTTCATGAAAGGAAAAATCTGCTGGAAATGTGCTTTGAATGATTCTCACAGAGATGCGTACCAAAAGAAAAATCAAACAAATGTACAAAATATCCACCAATATAAACAGATTTATTAAAAGATTTTTTTTATTTCTTGGTCTAGGTAGAAGGAATAAAAAATAAATCAAATAAAAATACATTTTCTGTTTTTTTCTCCCTAAAAAATGTCTGAAACTTGCCATGTGATGCCAAAGTAGTATCCACGATCTCTGACACAAATCCTGCAGATTTAGTTACAGTATTCTCTCTGGCATACATAGGTAAACAAGCAGGATGAAGACTAGGGCTGGGACGGGTAACTCGGGCACTCAGGTCGGGGGGGTAGTAAGTAGGACCCGTGTACCCAAAGGACTACCCAGACCCGTGGTTAGTCACTTGATATATCGTTAAATACAACTCCATGGTTACTTGCAAGTCACTACATATCTTTCTGACCATACGCGCATTCCATCTGACATTTTGAGTAAAGATACAGCTTCAGTCAACTTCAGTGTATGCATGACCAGATTGTTTTATAGATATTCGGTAAAACAATTCCTAATTGGACATTTTATACCCAACTGTTGACCCTACAGCAGGTATCGGGTAATAGGGGGTGGGTGGGGTACCTGGGTGGTAAATTTGGACTCGTCCCAGCCCTAATAAAGACTAACACCAAACGAGAAATGATTTTTTTGATAGTATCGCCTGACTAACTGCATATCACTTTCTCATCCCAACTCGAGGCAAAGGGAATTGGGTCTACTACAATCATAAACAGTCTTGTATTCCGTCCTATCCAGCACTCGTACCCTGTGGTGAACCACTAGTTGCATTAACAAATCAACAAATACAAATATCTTCAATTCATTATGCATAAATATCTCCAATTTGTTGTCCTAATCCCTGCAGAAACAGCCAAAGTTACAACAACAGATATGGCAGCTCTTACACATCTAATCACACACACTCGTCATCGGCTAAATTGCATAAACTAATTTAATATCTTTGACACAACAATTATTAAATCTCGTAACTATAACCTCCAGGTATTGTTGGGAAGCGCCATCTGGTGTCTGGTGTGATGCAGGCAATAGGCCGGATATAGATATGGCAGCCAATTTGTAACTTATTAAACGCTATAATTCTTTCAGAGTAGCTGAAAGTCTATACACTGCTCCACACAGCCTTGTTGTAGCCTTTCACCACAAGGGCAGATAACCCGGATTGGCTGAAGGTCAATCCACTACTGCCTTGTGATAACCTTTCCACACAAGGGCTGATAACCCAGAAGATTTGCTGAAGGTCAATCCACTACTTCCTTGTGATAACCTTTCCACACAAGGGCAGATAACCCAGAAGATTTGCTGAAGGTCAATCCACTACTTCCTTGTGATAACCTTTCCACACAAGGGCAGATAACCCAGAAGATTCGCCGAAGGTCAATCCACTACTTCCTTGTGATAACCTTTCGACACAAGGGCAGATAACCCAGAAGATTCGCAGAAGGTCAATCCACAACTGCCTTGTGATAACCATTCCACACAAGAGCAGATAACCCAGATTAAAATATCCAGGTGCAAGTGGCTGCAACGCACTTTATCAAAAGTCAAACTCATTTCAACATGAAATGACAACACAAATACACATTTTGGTATTCAGTGGTAAAAACAAATTTAACAATCCAACAATGATATGAATGCTGTAAATGACAAGAGGCCACAAATATCCAATTTTCATATCAAGATTTCTATACAAGGTGTTCAGATTCTCAATAAAAATCACAGCAAAACATTCACTACTTCCTTGAAATTCACTGCAGATATCCAGACAATTGGTGCTTTTCTCTAGCTTGAAATATCGGCCATTATGTCCACTTTTCATTCTTTGATTTCTCCTCACAATGAACATAAGATATGTTGAAATTTGTAAGAAGGGTTACATCAGTGTCATGGTAACTTGTCCAAGTATCAAACTGAATGATACCTCCACACATCAAACAAATACACACATCGAGCAACTGAGTGCTTAGGTTAAATGTCTCAGTACATATCAGACATCGTTAACTTCTTTTGCAGCTTAAAGTGGGAGACAAGTCCAAAGTAATGCAAGTCATAGCCGTTTACCACTTTAATGAAACCTACCAACCCATATAGTCGCAACAGACCAAGTATCATAAGTGGATGAATTCAGGATTCAAACCCAGAACCAGTTGATCCTGGCTTCAAAGGGACACAACTCTGCCTGCCTCTGACCTCATATACCCTTAGGGTTTGTTCAAAGTTCAACAAGACATATTGCATCAAGCGGGGTAGGTCTTTACGTCAACTCAATGCTCTGCATATGCTCAGCACACAAGGCAGCCCTACACAAGCACCTTCTTTTTTAAGATGGACTTCTATCCAGAAATAATGTACAGTCAGGTTAACTGCATTCATCAATCCAGCATTGATGTAGATAGCCCTATGAAAGTGGCATTGTTGCGAGGCCATGGAGATAGTGGGGTGTTGAAGCTTCACACATGCATTGTCTGCCTAACTGTGTTCACCAATCCAGCAGTGATGTAAATAGCCCTATGAAAGTGGCATTGTCACGAGGCCACGGAGATGGCGGGGTGTTGTAGCTTCACACATGCATTGTCTACCTAACTGTCTGCCTAACTATCCACCAATCCACCAGTGCTGTAGATAGTCCTGTTAATTCCTATCAAAGTAGCACTGGAGCGAGTCCATGGAGATGACTGACTTGACAGACAAGGTCTATAACAAATGTGGGGTTCTACAGCTCACACAGTCTGCCTAACTTGTTCACCAATCCACCAGTGCCGTAGATAGTCCTGTTAATTCCTATCAAAGTGGCACTGGAGCGAGTCCATGGAGATGACTGACTTGACGCACAAGGTCAATAATAAGAGTAGGGTTCTACAGCTCACATAGTCTGCCTAAGTTTGTTCACCAATCCAGCAGTTCTGTAGATAGTCCTGTTAAGGTCCTATTAATGTGTCATTGTCAGGAGGCCAGTGAGATCGACTTGGAACCCAAAAACTTGTAAGCTTCACAGTCTGGACTGGGCAAAAGGCCTCTGATAGGAAGACACTCAGCATGTGCATCTGTCAATCTGTTCATCTCGCACTTCGTCAGGTTTCCACAGTTCTTGGATCTGGTCAAGTGTTTAGTCCACTTCCACTTTCTTTCTTCCTCCCCTTGGTTTTATTTTCTCTGATATTTGCCACAGAAGGTCTTCAGATAAATAGTCATCAAACTCATTGATGATAGACAATATTTTCTCACTCTTCTTGAATTCATAGTTGCTGTAAATAAAAAGAAAATGTCACTCTCACTTGAAAAAGAATAATGCAATCAATTATTGAGAAGTTCCGAAATTGTTTGCCATGCCATGAGCTCACTTCAAGGGCGGATCCAGCAATATCGAAATCCTCAATTATACTGCCTTCAACATACTACTGTACTTCATTTGGTTTTCAAAAGGGCTGGTCCGGACCCCATGGACCCTCCCCTCTGGATCCACCTATCCACTTCATAATTCAGAACCAGGTGAGCTACAAAAGCTGCCAGAAAGAAAAACTGAGAAATAGAAATGGAGTGACAACGTGAGCTACATGGCATGTTCATCAATATCACAGCCCTCGGATGGCGACCCATAGATTAATCAACCTACATAGACTAGCAAAAACTGAGCCCAAATTTATTGACCTGAAATCGACAAAAATCTGTTGAAGTTCACATACCACTTCTTAAATCGGCGCATGCTGTCGAGGATGTTGAACTGCTGCCAACGTTTGGAGAAGTTGATGCTGTGGTCGGGCAGGAGGTCCTGGTTGCCGATGTTGATGAAGGTCAGGTCTTGTAGAATCAACCCTCTATAACAAGAACCAGGTAGAAATGCCAGTGAGAGAAAAAACATAATCAGGGCGAACCAGGATTCAAACCCAGGTTTCTGGCATGCCCAAGGGACACAGCCAATTGCGGTTCCCTTGACAACATGGGCCCTTGTGTCCCCGCCGTGTGAGTGAGGTTTAATGATATTTTCAACATTACTGAGGTCAACTCATGCATAATGCCGGTGGAAAGGCAGATTAGTGAAACCACAAGCAGGGTATGATTGTAAAACTGAGCATCAAAATCAGGGAAATCTGCAATTTGAAACAGTGATCAGCGGATAATGGCACGTCTAAGTGACATAACTCTGTATAGTGAATTGCATACTGCACTTAGCTATATTTCAGCAATATGACATCATGAGCATCGATCCACACATGTGGGATACGATGACATGCATCAACCAAGTCAGCGAGCCTGACAACCCAATCGCCTCTTACGACAGGCAAAGTCGCCTTTTATGGCAAGCATGGGTTGCTGAGGACCTATTCTACTCCAGATCGTCACGGATCTCATGACATCATGACATTATGTCCTACATTACATCATGACACATGTCCTACGTAACATCATGACACGTCCTACATCACGACACGTGTCCTACATAACATCTTGACACATGTCCTACATAACATCATGACACATGTCCTACATAACATCATGACGGATGTCCTACATAACATCATGATACATGTCCTAAGTAACATCATGACACATGTCCTACGAAATACCATGTTACAATTTCTACCCAACATCATGACACATGTCCTATACAACATCATGACGGATGTCCTACGTAACATCATGACACATGTCCTACGTAACATCATGACACATCCTACATCACGACACATGTCCTACATAACATCATGACACATGTCCTACACAACATAATGACACGTCCTACATAACATCATGACACATGTCCTACATCATGACACATGTTCTACATCACGATACATGTCCTACATCATGACACATGTCCTACATCACGATACATGTCCTACATCACGACACATGTCCTACATAACATCATGACACATGTCCTACATCATGACACATGTTCTACATCACGATACATGTCCTACATCATGACACATGTCCTACATCACGATACATGTCCTTCATCACGATACATGTCCTACATCATGACACATGTCCTACGTAACATCATGACACGTCCTACACAACATCATGACACGTCCTACATCATGTCACATGTCCTACATGACATCATGACACATGTCCTATACAACATCATGACACGTCCTACATCACTTCACACGTCCTACATAACATCATGACACATGTCCTACATAACATCATGACACATGTTCTACACAACAGCATGACATATATCCTACGTAACATCATGACACATGTCTTACATAACATCATGACACGTCCTACATCACGACACATGTCCTATACATCATGACATATATCCTACGTAACATCATGACACGTGTCTTACGTAACATCATGACATATGTCCTACGTAACATCATGACACGTGTCTTACGTAACATCATGACATATGTCCTACGTAACATCATGACACGTGTCTTACATAACATCATGACACGTCCTACATCACGACACATGTCCTATACATCATGACATATATCCTACGTAACATCATGACACATGTCTTACATAACATCATGACACGTCCTACATCACGACACATGTCCTATACATCATGACATATATCCTACGTAACATCATGACACGTGTCTTACGTAACATCATGACACATGTCTTACATAACATCATGACATATGTCCTACGTAACATAATGATTCATGTCCGTGACAAGTCTGAGGAATACTCACAGGTACGGTATACATGGAGGCTCCGTCTCGGAGAGTGCTTGTCTGTATGCACGGAATGATGAAGAACTGTCAATCAACTGACAGAACTCTTTCAGAGCCTGAAATACAACAACATCCAGTGGTCAAAACAGTCCCAGTATCAACAACGTATTAAGTGTCAACAATAATCCAAATTTTTCAAAACTGTGAGGAGGAGGTATTTCATATTTCATTTTTCTACATGTATTTCCAAACAAACTGCTCAACACATGAGTGTACATATTGAATGTTTGGATCAAGTGAAAAAACTAAGGAACACAAATAATGACTGACTTTCTTGGTACTTTGGACAACAAAACGATGTGAGGCGAGCTGTTTGACAGTGAAAGTGTCTCAGTATTTAGATAACCTACATCTACATCCATCTGTTACAACAGCAGAAACTTAAGGTAAAGAGGAACGAGGTGTCAAACAAGGCAAGAGAGTACAATTAAAACAGCTGTCAAGGGAGGTAACTCTCCGGAGCTAGGAAACATACCTCTAAGTTTTGCTTCTGCCACTCAAGTCTCCTCACTGGTGCCGAATCAAGAGCAGACAGAATGGCCAGGTATGAGTTGAAGTTGCTCATCTTCCTCAGGTGCTGCAATAATCGTACACGACACATTGGAATCTGTTGTCATATTGCATGACACAGACTTTACAATGTTTTAAAACCACACAGTAAATCTTGAAATTACTGTGAGTGTGAACAAAAAGTTCTTTGCTCGCATTAATTAATTTCACATTTATATCTCCAAAAGACTATCAACAATAAGACAGCATCACTGCACACTTTAAAAAGCGGAAATACCAACTTAAATAGAATACCCCACCCAGACACAGTATACTGACTCCAAGTGGACAGGTCCGGGGTAATATCCCTTAATGATGAGCGCCAGACAGGATAAAAGCAAGTACCGTATTCGACGTAATAAGCGCCCAGGGCGCTCTCAAAACTAGAAATAGGGGGCTCTTATTAGAATGTTATTTTGGAGTTGAAAGATAAATTTCGTGGTTTATGCTGACAGCCTGAAATGTTTGTGTACGACAGTTATATTTTTCCAGAATTTAATTGCCAATAATAAAGGATGCACATAACACACGAGTGCGTATTATACGCGAATTGGGGAAGGAAGCAGTGCGTAATATATGTGAAAAGGGGTCGGAAGGGGTGCTAATTGGGATTGTTCACTAGCCAATATGTTAGCAAATCTCGACGTGGGTGCTTATTAGAGCGGGGTGCTTATTACGTCGGACATCTTCTGGTCTCAAGTGACTGGTGATGAACCACTGACCTTCCGTTCTCCAGGCAATACTCTATGCACTAGACCAGGGAGGCAGTCAGGGAATGTAAACTACACGTGTGCTTCAATACACGATTACCCTTGAGAGCCCTACTTGGGTGTGTGGTGATTTAGGTGAGGTGAAATGGGGTTTAACGTTGCGTCAAAGATTATTGCACTTATATAGCGACGTGCATGCACTTGTGTGTGTGTGGCTGCTTGTACTAGTCCGGACTGATGCCGATTTATAGTGCTAGCCCACTGAGATACCATGCTGCAGTTTAACATGAATACCCCACCCAGACACTGTGTACTGACTCCGAGCCAACAAGTCCATGTTTTAGCCCTTTTAGCGCCAGGCAGGGTAACAACAAGTACCGTCTTTTAACGTCTATTGGTATGACGCCGCCGGGGATCGAACCCCGGACCTTCAGCTCTCCTGGCGGAAGCTCTACCACTAGACCACGGAGGCGGTTGTGGTGATTTAGGGATGACACTAACCTTCATTATCTTGATGAATTTGATGAGGTACTTCTCTCTCTCCTTGGGGTCTTCTTGCGTCAGGATGCGTGTGCGACACCTGAACATATATTTGAGGTCAGAAAGGGCTCAAATAAACCAAATCAGCAATTACATATTTCTCGAATTACTGATGAAAGACACCATTTTCTGTATGTTTACCAAATTTTCTGCATGAAATATATCAAGGGGGAATAACTCTAAGTTTGTTTTCTGTCGTCTGCAAATGAACCAAATAGATAAAAGCATAACTGTGGTATTCTTACCGATTCGAATGAGTGTGCAGTAAGATAAATTCATTCCACTAACATTGTCCACTGACACCCTTGAGAACCTCAGGACAATCTATATTGTTGAAGTGTTCAGTGAAGTGAGATTACACCTACCAATACGACATCTTGTTGAAGTGTTCAGTGAAGTGAGATTACACCTACCAATACGACATCTTGTTGAAGTGTTCAGTGAAGTGAGATTACACCTACCAATACGACATCTTGTTGAAGTGTTCAGTGAAGTGAGATTACACCTACCAATACGACATCTTGTTGAAGTGTTCAGTGAAGTGAGATTACACCTACCAATACGACATCTTGTTGAAGTGTTCAGGGAAGTGAGATTACACCTACCAATACGACATCTTGTTGAAGTGTTCAGTGAAGTGAGATTACACCTACCAATACGACATCTTGTTGAAGTGTTCAGTGAAGTGAGATTACACCTACCAATACGACATCTTGTTGAAGTGTTCAGTGAAGTGGGTCAGGTTGGGGCTCAGCTCCTCAGACTGTTCCTTGGCCCACAACAGAACCTCAGGAATCTGCAGAAAGCCAAGGGTTAATACTGACTCCGTCTGTCAAGGTCTCCATACTAAAACTGTGTCTAAACTGAGCTCAGAAAACTCTAATAGTCATTTTATTACAGTAAAATTTAAGTACACACGAGTCTTAATAAATTCTATTGTGAGTTGGGTTTTATGCCATTTATAGTAATAAAATAACACTACAAAAAATACAGTATTTGCAACATAAACTCAGCTGAACACAAACACAAGCCAAATAATAACGGGGGGTGATGTCATAAGAACAGGAAATGATGTCATAAGAACAGGAAATGATGTCATCGGAACCGGAAGTGACATATGTCACTGACACTGTTCGTGCCCCGAAGACGATCTGAAAGGGTCCTGTGATGACGTCACAAGCAGGAACAAGGACACAAATATAATGGCAGCTCAGTGGAAGATTATCCCATATTTCCTTGTGACGACAACCAAAATACACGATTTATGGCATAAGCCATGTGAGGTTTTCCGCCTTCACATGCACAAGAGGCAAGCTAGATACCATTACTTGCCTAACAGATTATGGATAGTTTACAGTGAAGAGGACTTCTGTCGAAAATCTGAAGATTTTATAGTGAGATGATAGCCAAATTACAGAATTTTTTTTATAGAGGTAGGATCGCAGGAATAATAATATTACAAAATATTATATTACTCATACAAAAGATATTTGCAAACTCAACTTAGTTTTAACACAAACACAAACACAAACACAAATATTGGCACGAAAACAAAACTTTCCTGACCTCTATTTTCTGGAACAGTTCAGCATCCATGAGCGTCATCTGTTCTGCGATCTCCTGAGACTTGAAGTGGAGAAGGTCTGGCAGGCTGAAAGAGGAGGAGGAATATCATGTGACTACTGGATCTGAAACTTTTGTACATCTACATGTTTGCCAGGCACAATATTAAACATGGCGTTCTTTTAGTGGTCAGACTAGCAGTTATGGTTGATGCATATTATCGAATCCCAAATGTGTTTGTTTGTTGTTTACGGCGCACTCAGCAATATTCCAGCTATATGACGGTGGTCTGTAAATAATCATGTCTGGACCAGACAATCGAGTGATTGACATTATGAGCAACGATCTTTGCAATGGGTTACGATGACATGCATCAACCAAGTCAGGAAGCCTGACCACACAATCTCATTAGTCGCCTCTTATATTTACAACAAGCACAGTCGCCTTATACGGCAAGCATGGGTTGCTGAAGACCTATTCTACCCCCGATTTTCACGGGTCTCCCAACAGTGTAGATCGGTGCTCATGATGTCAATAACCGGATTGTCTACAATTACTTAAAGACTGCCATCATATAGCTGGAAAATTTCTGATTGGCAGTTAACAACAAACAATACATTGCAACAATATCCCAAAAGGCAATCCTCATGATGGTAACTGCCATGCAGGGCAGTGATCAAAATTACAGGGGTTGTGGGGTTCCTTGAGGTTTGTTCCTAGAGCACCTGAATCTAGGGACCCTTAAGTTTCTAACTGTTAACACGATGGTAATGGCAAGAAGCACTTGACTTTCGCGCTTTGTTCTGAACACTGCAGTGCATTATCTCTCTTACTTCTGAGACAGCTGGATTGACTGTACGGGGGTCACGGTGTTGGCATTGTCAGCAAGGATCTTCTGACGCTGCTCACACTTCTCGATAATTTTCTTGCGAAGAATCCTTGCCAGCATCAACTCTCCCTGACAGACCAGTTCATATACCAGGTCCATCATCCGCCGAACCACTTCTTCTTCTAACTCCATGTACCTGTAACAAGTTGTGTGTAATTCAGCAGTGATTAATATTTCCACACTATTAATGTATTTCATCTGAACATTCATTCAATTACAATTCCCTTTAACACGGTGTATCGAAACCAGCATTGATTATCATTAATACTTCAAAATGTTTAACGTAGCCACTTCAAACACCCATAATAATTTAACTGTATTTCCCTATAACAAGATGTAAGGAAACTAGCATTTAATACAATTTCAAAACAATTATTGTATGTAATTACAAACATTCAAAAACATTTCTTGTGATGAATTGTATGGAAACTATTACTGCATTAATTTTGAATGCAAATTATAATTCAATTTAATCTCCATGTAATAAGTTGTATGGAGATACGTCAAAACTATTATTGTATTAATTTTCAATCTCATTTCATTTTTAAACACCCATCTTCATTATTAAACAAGGGCAAAAGTGAGCGTGGCTTACTCATACCCCCGACCCGCCTAGTGTGTCAGTAGTTTCAAATTAAATAATGGATAGGGTTAGGGTTTGAAAAATTCATAAAAAAATGGAAAATTAATAAAAACAATTTTTCTTTTGACTGCACCCCTCCATGACACAGGTTATATGTACTAAGTTTGAGATGAATCCACTGAATAGTTTCAGAGAAATCGCGCGGACAAAGTTTTCGGACGGACAGACGGATGGACGGATGGAACCTTGCTATAACCATATAGCAGCGACCTAAAAGGTCAGGGGTATAATAACCTTGTATACTCTAAATGTCATTATATCTATTCTTTCTACCAGTAGTCTGCACTTTTCTTTTTTGGTTATACTCAAAAGGGTAGTTCTTTAAACACCCATGTACACTCTGAACCCACAACCACTTGATCCTGGTGTCTCTAAGGGACACAATTCTACACAGCAAATTGCAACGCTTTAGACCAATGGACAACCCAACAGTCATCATAACCTGATGCAACTACACAGTGTCCCATAGAAGCAGACCCGTGAAGATCCGGGGTAGAATAGATCTTCAGCAACCCATGCTTGCCGTAAAAGGCGACTATGCTTGTCGTCAGAGGCAACTAACGGGATGGGGTGGTCAGGCTCGCTGACATGGTTGATGCATGTCATCATATCCCATTTGCGTGGATAGATGCTCATGATGTCAATCACTGGATTGTCTGGTCCAGACTCCTTTATTTACAGACCGCCATCATATAGCTGGAATATTGCTGAGTGCTGCGTTAAACAACAAACAAACAAACAAACAAACACAGATGTAGAAACTAACAGTTTCAGTCCACTAGTCCTTATAATGATAACATATAGCAAAACCCTTAAAAATGGCAAATTTCTACTAGTCCTTATGATACCTTTACTATTGGGCAGTTTGGCCAGGACTACAGGACTAGTGCCAATTTCTAACCCTGAAACAAACAAACAAACATAGAAGCAACCAGCCATCATGGCTTCCTCCGTATTCTGTTCACCTACCCCAGTTCATCCACCACCCTAATGAGGAGGGAGAAAGCATTCCGGGAGAGTCTCTTCTTGTCCTTGACGTGCTGGAACTTGTAGAAGCGGTACAGCAGCTTATCTATCAGCTCCTTGCAGACGATGAACGTCCGGTAGGTTGTCAGGAACGCCTCCTGGTAGATGAACTCTGAAAACAGGCATAGTCCTGCCAGTTGAATGTAACGAAAACACAAGTTCCTGGCACGGTCGAGAGATGACCACTTGATTCCTGATTCAACAAAAGGTATCTTCCTCACATTAACTAAATCACCCGCATCACAGATTTCCAAGAAAATGCACAGAAAAAGAGAAATTTGCCATTTATGATTTTTTAACTAAGCTTCAAATTCACTTTTGAACAATTTCAAAACTCCTACCCTAAATATATAAAGATTCATATTAGTTTCTTTCTTCTCTATAATTGTATCCAATGCAATATTCCCAACAACTTGTCACATACTCTCAGACCCTCCTAATTTCATCTTCTGCAATATTCTTAACTTTAAAAAACATCATGTAGTCTCAGATCACATCTGTCATTTTATAGAATGCAATATTCCTAACAACTAGTCGCATACTCTCAGTTAATCAAAACTTGTTCTCACTTCCTCTTCCTTATCCCCCCCATTACCGTCACATCAAGTGACCTCACCATCAGCCACAATCATACAGTACATACGTAACAATTCAACCTCCTGCAGACAAATAGAATACGTTCAGGACATTCTCCTTAGTAAAAATCAAAATAATGTCCAAATATTGACCACTCCCTTGTTATAATCTACCATTGACCAGTTCCAGTCACAACAAAACACTGGTATTGTACATTCCATCAAGTGAGAATGGTTTTATTCCACCCTTACCATTACTCCAGCTATATCACCAAAACCAAGAATGTGCTTCACACATTGTACCCTGATGGGGTATCAAACGCAGGTCTTCCTCATGAATACCCAAGGTTCTTACCACCAAGCGACACAGCGACCATTTTGCCCCTGATGTGAAGAATATGTCCTTAATTATTTACAAATTCTCTTGGTTAATCAAAATGACTAAGGTCAGACTCTTATTTTGAGGGTGCTTACAGATATTTGGCAAAAAAATTTGGTTGGTCGAAAAAAATCTCAATTTCAATTTCAAATAATATATTGATTTTCTTACAATGCTAAGTAGGTAGGGCAAAACAAAAGTATGTAGATATGTTGAGGCAAGTTTAGAGTTACCTCTCTTCAGTCATAGACACAGATCTGTCATGATTCATCATAATTCGTGTTCTGAATGTTTTAAGATACATTTTAAACAGGTTCTAAAATTAGTATTCAAAATAATTTAACAATTTACTTCATACTGGTCTGTGGAACCAAAAAAACCCACTACATTTAAAAAAAATTCATTTGAATTGTTTTATCCGAGGGATTCTTAAACCAAGTATAAAATTAATCTGTTCTAAAGGATCAAATGTTTTCTGTTATTCATTGCATGACAAAGAATGGAACATTGTCTTGGTGTTATCACATGTATGAGCCTTCCCATGCTTGATACTTCCCTGTATCACACGGCTACTGTTCAACAACGTCACACACAACACCGTTATCACGCACAGTTGACAGGCAGAAGACAGAGAGATAGGAACAAGAGATGTACAACATTGATCTGTTTTGACACATTCCTTGCAAATGTCACAATTAACACATCAAGGTAATTCATGGTAAATACCACTGTAATGACCCATCATTACAGACACTTAATAACACGGCTGAATGCTCACACTGGATGTTTTCCTTTTTTCTTGGTGTAGCATCAGGATAATAGAATGTATGATTTAAGTGTGGTTAAATTACCGATAATAGTGCCAAGTGAAAACAAAACACTTCATTCTTTCTCAAAATGGTTACAATTGCAGCCATTTGGAAATCAAAATTAATTCTACTAACTCTGAAGAAAAAAAATCTGAAGATAAAACTTTTGGGTTTTCTTTCTCTCCACTTCAATAACAGCTATATCTACAGCTCTATCACATCAATGTAAAACCTGCATCACATCAGTGGCTCCCTCTGATGTGTAATCATCTTGTACCCACTTGCCCACCAGACATGGGATTCCTGTACCTCAAACCCCAGCAGACACGGGATTCCTGTACCCAAAACCCCACCAGACACGGGATTCCTGTACCCCAAACCCCAGCAGATGCTAGATTCCTGTACCTTAAACCCCAGCAGATGTAGAATTCCTGTACCCCAAACCCCAGCAGACGTAAGATTCCTGTACCCCAAACCCCACCAGACACGGGATTCCTGTACCCCAAACCCCACAAGATGTGAGATTCCTGTACCCCAAACCCCACCAGACACGGGATTCCTGTACCTTAAACCCAAGCAGATGCGAGATTCCTGTACCTTAAACCCCAGCAGACGTAAGATTCCTGTACCCCAAACCCCAGCAGACAAAGGATTCCTGTACATTAAACCCCAGCAGATGCAAGATTCCTGTACCCCAAACCCCACCAGATACAGGATTCCTGTACCTGAAACCCCAGCAGACGTGAGATTCCTGTACCCCAAACCCCACCAGACGTGAGATTCCTGTACCCAAAACCCCAGCAGATGTGAGATTCCTATACCTTAAACCCCACCAGACGTAAGATTCCTGTACCCCAAACCCCACCAGACACGGGATTCCTGTACCTGAAACCCAAGCAGACGTGAGATTCCTGTACCCATAAACCCCAGCAGATGTGAGATTCCTGAACCCAAAACCCCAGCAGATGTGAGATTCCTATACCTTAAACCCCAGCAGACGTAAGATTCCTGTACCCCAAACCCCAGCAGACACAGGATTCCTGTACCCCAAACCCCAGCAGATGCAAGATTCCTGTACCCCAAACCCCAGGAGACACAGGATTCCTGTACCTGAAACCCCAGCAGATGTGAGATTCCTGTACCCCAAACCCCACCAGACATGGGATTCCTGTACCTTAAACCCCAGCAGGTGTGAGATTCCTGTACCCCAAACCCCAGCAGACACGGGATTCCTGTACCCCAAACCCCACCAGACACAGGATTCCTGTACCTTAAACCCCAGCAGATGTGAGATTCCTGTACCTTAAACCCCAGCAGATGTAAGATTCCTGTACCCCAAACCCCAGCAGATGTGAGATTCATGTACCCCAAACCCCACCAGACACAGGATTCCTGTACCTGAAACCCCAGCAGATGTAAGATTCCTGTACCCCAAACCCCAGCAGATGTGAGATTCCTGTACCCCAAACCCCACCAGACATGGGATTCCTGTACCTTAAACCCCAGCAGGTGTGAGATTCCTGTACCCCAAACCCCAGCAGACACGGGATTCCTGTACCCAAAACCCTACCAGACAAGACATTCCTGTACCCATAACCTTACCAGACAAGAGATTCCTGTACCCCAAAACCCCAGCAGACATGAGATTCCTGTACCCCAAACCCCACCAGACACAGGATTCCTGTACTCCAAACCCCAGCAGATGTGAGATTCCTGTACCCAAAACCTTACCAGACAAGAGATTCCTGTACCTGAAACCCCAGCAGACGGGTTCCTGTACCCCAAACCCCAGCAGATGTGAGATTCCTGTACCCCAAACCCCAGCAGACACAGGATTCCTGTACCCCAAACTCCACCAGATGTGAGATTCCTGTACCCCAAACCCCAGCAGACGTGAGATTCCTGTACCCCAAACCCCAGTAGACACGGGATTCCTGTACCTTAAACCCCAGCAGATGCAAGATTCCTGTACCACAAACCCCACCAGACACAGGATTCCTGTACCTTAAACTCCAGCAGACGTGAGATTCCTATACCCAAAACCCCACCAGACGTGAGATTCCTGTACCCAAAACCTTACCAGACAAGAGATTCCTGTACCCAAAACTCCAGCAGACACAAGATTCCTGTCCCCCAAACTCCACCAGATGTGAGATTCCTGTCCCCCAAACTCCACCAGATGTGAGATTCCTGTTCCCCAAACCCCATCACATGTATGTACCCAGTAGCCAGACGTGAGATTCCATTAACCAGTAGCCCACCAAATGTGTGAGAATGCAAGCATTAATTACCATTCTCATTCACAATGCACCCACCACCAGCTTGGCCAATTCACTATGGCATGCTCTATACATGAAAATCAAGTTGGTATCATCAGTATGATGCAGTCCTCATAGTTAAGCCAGACAAATAAAACTAAGTGTTTTGTGAGTGAGTTCTTACTTAACGTCACATAGGCAGTATTCCAGCCACATAGAGACGAGACATTGTGTAATAAAAGAAAATAAACTTTTTCAACTAAAGAGCTATTTATGCATACCAGGTCGTGAGTGATGGGGAAGAGTATGACGTGAAATATAAGCAATTTCTTACTTTGCAGCTGAATGAGAGAAAAGATCAAAATCAGCGTTTCTGCATTTGTTAGTAAGCAATGGAAATAAAATACTGACAAAATTATTTTTTCAGAAAAACATATGATTGACATTACTCTATTCAACTATTTGATATTTCTTTAAATGTTTTGTTGTTTTAATTTGAGAGACAGGCAGAAAACACGGAAGATCTCACAATATTTAAAAATATACATTCAGTTATATAACAATACCTCTCCTACGTCATGTGCACATTAGGTTTGGGAAAGTCAAGGTTACGGTCAAGGTCATTGGGAAATGGCAAGGGAATCATACCCATAATGCAACATTTTTGTTGCTGAATATTAGTAAGAGATTCCTTCAGTTTTTTTACCGACACAATATCAAGAGAACAACGAAAATGACACAAAAGAAAATACACCAAAGTGAAAAACAGACAATGAATGCAAAGCATCACGCAGGGGAAACGATGTTCATGTATATGATGATATCAGGTGAAATTGAACCAAGTCAGACATTCCAAAATGTCATGCTGTTATGTGAGAAATGAAATAGATCTCTGCTACAGCCACCAATACAGATACAATATGGATATATATACTGGAAAACGGTCCTGCCCCAAAGTCACAATCTCAACAATGGGTCCACGGGTCATAGGAGAAATGACAACAACTTTCCTTATGTTGTCAAAACTCAGGTGCTCCGTTACTTTCCTTAACAATTCTCGATTAGCATTGTCATTCACTTATTCCAAACGAATAGTTGCCAAAACAAACAATTTTGTGTTAAAGAAGCAATATCTTAAAAAATATAATATTCATATTTTCACGAAATAAGCAGTTCTTTAAAAAAAAAGAAAAAGAGACAAAAAAGTGAACAATTTCAGCAATGCAAACAAAATTGCAGCAAAAAAAAAAAATGAAATAACAGAGCACTCATTCCCATCAACTTGGCTAGTTTGACTGAGGAATGGGTTAAGGAAGGGACATAACTCTCTATAGCTTACCTTCTTGGTTAACTAGATCGCCTTGTGAGCCTTGTGTGAAGAATGCAGAGAAATGATTGGTTCATGCAGCATGATCATGAGAGGGGCGGGATCAAACAATCGCATCATGGGTACGCACAAAAATCTAAATATTTCTTTTGTAATTCAAAACGATTATATCTAGAAAACAAAAGTCAAAACTAATGAAGCTAAAGTTACTCAATCTTAAGCTTCATTGAAGTTTGGAAATAGCGCATGTATGACCAAAATGAGAGCAGTTTTGTTGTGATAATATGTTAATGTGAAATAGTCAAATATTTTTGAAAACAAGAATCATATTACCCATGATGCCAAGTTGCCAATACCCACAATCAGCCAGAAAGTTAAATGTATTTCCTAGGCATGTCAGAAAACAATTCTTTCAATGTAAAAGTTCACAAATATCTTTAACAGTAAAACACAATGTCTTTGCCTGCAGATCACCTTTAGGCTCGGACTTTGGGTTTTGGATGGAACCATTTTACCAAGAGAGACTGGTTCTACAGTCACACGTCTTCATCACTGATCTAGGGAGCAGTTCAATAGCTCAATATTGAAAAACAATCTTAATTCCTTGTTTGTGAGTGGGTCTTGAAGGTAACTTCTCAGTGGACTTAGAGTTCAAGTCAAGTAAACACAGATCTAATTTTAATATTTTTCTTCAAAAACAAACAAAATAACGATTTCTATAAAAGAATAGTCAACTCGACAACTTCTACACAAAAGAATTTAAAGAACACCCGTTTCCTTCATATAACTATAGTTATTCTGCCATGAGTCTTCAGCAACCCATGCTTGCCGTAAAACGCATATTGTGTGTCGTAAGAGGCAACTAACAGGATCTAGTGGTCAGGCTCGCTGACTTGGTTGATGCATGTCATCCTATCCCACTTGCGTGGATCATTGCTCATGTTGTCAATAACTGGATTGTCTGGTCCAGACTTGATTATTTACAGATCGCCGTCACATAGCTGGAATATTGCTGAGTGCGGCGTTAAACAACAAACAAACAAGTTTAACTAAAGTAGTATGAAAGAATCGGGTGTTCTTTAACTTCTTTTGAGTAGTATACATCATAACTAGCATTTGACATAAGAGGATGAACATTTTCAGAGCAATTTTCAGTTGTTTTTCATTAATAATACTTTGGTTGGGTGGGTGGGATGGTGTGTGTTATATGTGTCTTAAAACTGAGTTTGTTATCCTACATTGAACTTAATAACTACTCCCTTACCATTGCCATAGTGACAAATGATGCCAGGCAAGACATGTTTCAAACCAGTCTCTCTTGCAAGTCAAATCAAGACAAAACATTTGTGGAGAGCAAATAATAGGGGGTCAAGGTATAATTCTCTACATTCAAAATGGCCGACCGATCAGAAACAGAATCCAGTTATAAGTATTATGTCTTTGTGATATGTCAGTTGTGCAATGTTGGCTCGTAGGCCCACAATCATTGATTCAAGTCCGCTGAATACAGAGAAACCATGCTAATCCGGGCTTTGAGTAAACTCCTGGTATTGTCAAGAGCATGTTACTTTGTCTCTTGAATTCCAGATTTGTTATTCTGGATAATTTCACAAGGATCTTTATCGTCCTGATTAACAAGATTTCACTGTATACAAACCACCTATCTATGTGATGTACAGAAAATATGATATGACTCAATAAAGACAACTGTAAAACATGTTCTGATACTTCCACAACAAGAACAAAATGTGGCCGATTCCAAAATAATTATTAACGTTGACAATTAACAGCCAAAAACATCTCCAATTTAAACCAGTACTTGAACTCAAAATAATATTTTGATGTCTGATTTAGCCAGATATATTTACTTTCATAAGTGTGTCAATATCAAAGTTTGTTTCACAGTCACCGAAGAGTTATTATAAACTGATAAGAAATTAGTTTTGAGGAAACATGTACCTGATTTCCCAGCAGCTGTGGCATGTACTACCAGTGCATCTATACATCCGCCACGGATGTCGGGGCCATCTTCACCCTGTCACATGGAATAACACAATTGTGTAACTGTAGAATAATGTTTATCGGCATCTATCTCACAAACGACCTTTCATCTTGACATTGTGAATAATTAAACTAACAATTAACAATCGGTGACTAGCATATTATTACTAGCATATTATTACTGACATCCTGTTTGGGTAATAATACCACCTGCCCTCTGCCCTATTCCACACAATAAATGCCTGTCAGGGATCAATCCCCTAAGTAAACAACTGACATAAGATGTGGACACAGTATGAATGGATGAGCCGACAGAAAAAAGACCAAAAAGATTAAAAAATCTGAGGCAGAAGCAGGCTGACTGGACGTTGACCCGATCGTCATGATTGTTGAAATTGCGGAGCGCAGCAAACTGCCTGTGTTCATCTGCAACTCACGTCAGAAGTCTACGATTGTGGGTTCAAATCCAGGTTTGCCCCAGTCATATTTTTAGCTTTGTCAGCACCAAACCCATACTTGTAGGTTTCACGAAAGTGGTAAACGTCTGAGACCAGCATCACTTTGGGCTTTCCTCCCGAATCAAGCTGGTATGTCGTGATATAACTGGATCACTGTTCACAGTAGTGTCAAACCCAACTCACTCACTCACTCACTCATCCACAACTCACCTGTTGTTTCCTGATGAGCTGATCTGACACATCCACATCATCCAGAGGGTTCAGCTCAGCAAAGTCAGAATCAGCGTCTTTCTGAATCTCAGGCTTCTGGGGGGCAGGGGGAGGGGGTGGGGTCACGGGTTTGGGGGCAGGCTTCGGGGGAGGGACGGGGATGATGGTTTCACACACAGTGGCCGGGGCAGATTGGCGTTTGGGGTCCCTGAAGAAGAGAGGCATTTGATTGGATAAGAGAAATTGTCAAATAACACAGAGCAATTAATATTACAGCCTCATCATTGTATAATGAATTGATAAGTTAGGGATCATGAAATATCGTCGGATCATTGGTTTTCGGCCATCATACGTTTTCGGATGGCCATGTTTATCCCGATTACTCAAGGTTTAACAGGGGGTTTAGTATCACACAAACATTGTAAATACTCAGTTGATGGCTTGTTTTTAAGAGAAAGTTGTCTTTTATAAGTTAATGATGTTGTTTTTCAGGTGTTCATGTGATTAGAGAAAACACTATGAATTCTTAAGCTTCTGAAAACCCATAACACGGTGATATGTAAAATATGAAATTGTGTGCTCAGTCTTCACTACAAAATACATCCCCCAAAACATTCATGACCCTTAACTGTTTTGTTCCGCATATGTATACAGTTACACTTAGGAAGTCAGGAATAGCGTGAGAACTTACAGCTCTATGGCTGGCCGGGGCCCCGTGACTGCTGGTTCCAGGAGACTGACGGTCTTCTCACGGATGTCACCCGCGCTGTTTGACATGTCCGACTGACTTGATCCTGACCCCGTCGAGGTCATACTCTGACGATTCATATTCTGCTGCAGATACGTAAAGAGAAATAATATAAATTCTTTTGTCACAACTTGCTTACATTCAATTACCGCATTCACCATATTAAGCACCCTGCTCCAATAAGCAGCCAGATAAAGGCATTTTTAAAAAAATGGCAAACATACGTGTAGAAGGAATCTCAATGTGACCATGACCTTATACACAGTTCACCCAAGACCTATTCAGAATGCTGGCCCAAAGAAGACATGCTTCCTGAGTTACTGTCAACTCTTTAGATCTTGACCTTCGACATTTCTGGTCAACGTGTCAAAATTTCTCAGGGCTATGACGGAAATATATACATGATATGATATCACTGGGATGTCCAAGGGTTGTGTGGTTTCAAAAACAAACTGTGGCAGCTGTCAAATTCAAAACCTCACATTAATACAGTGCTGTTTAATTAACAGTAGTGTTATCAAACAGGATGAATGGGAGCTCTTCAGAAAGAAGGTAGAAGCAGATCCCACTCGTACCACTTCAACTTACCCGCTTCATTTTGATTGGTAGTGCCGGCAAGCCGGTGAATCTATCCGGTGACCCGGAGCTGAAGGACGTGTCCGAGCTGAAGTTGGAGATGTCGGAGATGACGCTGATGGTGTTGGAGCGTGGGTAAAGTGGCTGGAACAGCTCCATCTGGTGTTGGTGCCACTGAGCCTCGTAGAAGTTGATAGAGTGCCGTGAGATACACTCAAGGGAAGACGGTTGGGTATAAGACCCAAACGTCTGCATGTAGGCATGTACTGAAACGGCAAAATCTGAATCTGTTAGGCAGTTACTAGCACGTAATGTCATAACGTTATCATATATTCTGAGCATGTGAAAGCAGAGATTTATCTAGCACTTCTCAGAGGCCAATATGTGGTCCCAAAGTCTGTTAAAATGTCAGCAAAAATTTGCAAACTGGAATAATAAAACAAAACATTCCAATAATGTTAATATTTTTATAAGAACTAATGTTTAGAGCTTTGTTTTTCTAATCTATCAAACATGGAGTGGTCAGGCAAGTAATATTAAATTAAAAATATATAAATAAGATTTTCTGGTTGTGACTTTTGTCTTGGTTAGTCGAATCTGTAAACTGATAAATATAAAACTGTGGCCTTATTAAACAGTTAAAAGTGTGAGTAAGACTGCTAGACTATGTATGCCACTTACTGTGCCTCTTCTTGGGTGGGAGAGGTGGAGGTTTTGGCAGACTCTCGGTACTGGAGTGACTGGTGGCCGACGAGAACGTCTCCGAACTTGAATAAGTTTCTTGGGAGCTCGTTCTGTCAGCACAGAACAGCAGAGCACTACTGGAGGCGGACTTCTGGGTCAGCACACTCATGAAAGACTGTGTAGACTGAGAGCTCTGTGAGGACTGGGAGCTGCAGGTCGAGGAGGACGAGATCCGGGACTCCATGGTCCTGTTGAACACAGACCTGGAAGCGGAGGACATAGAGGACGCGTTGCACACCTGGAGGGCGTCTGGGACGTTATCGTACGTCGACATCAGTCTGTGGAGACGCTGCTTGCTTGGAATAGGAGGAGGCTTTTCATCAATGCTGGAGGTTAGCTGGTTAATTTTATAAGTCAGGGAATTAATTTCGTCAAACGTTGTATGTTGATTTGTCGATGAACGCATTACACTTGAAGACGATGAATTCATTACTTGTCCTTCGGTTAATTTTGTTATACTATTGGTCCGACTCGACCTCTGTGCCGTGGCTATGAGGTCTTCTGTGGATTTGTTAAGTCCGGAGCCGACACTACTTGATGGCGAGTGGCTCATCGGCGACACACTGTGTGGTGATTGGCTGAAAGGTGTCAGGATCTCGCCTGTTGGACTAATCAGGATGCTGTTCTGTGGTGACTGTGTTGGTGTGAGGGATGTAGTGGAGGTGGTGCTGGACATGAGATCATACATGTTCCCTGACCGGCGCTTCTCCTTGTCAGGGAGTGGTGGTGGGAAGTCAACGTCGGGTACATCTGCACCTAATATCCTACAACAAAATGAAATAATGTGGATGAAATTAAAATGATCATGAAACCTCAACATTGGCGTGTTGGCTGATTTTTCTGAACAACACATGAAAAGGTGGCTAATAAGATCAATCTTAGCCTCAGCATGGTGGGCTGAAAAATCAACACATGTCAGAAGTAATATTGTCAGGTCATTGTTGGAGTAAGGTAGTCAGCTGGGTTTTACAACACTTTCAACTGTATTTCAATTATATCATGGCATGGCAGTTGAAAGATCATAATCTGAGCTACCCATGATAAGCAGATCCTGGCTGGACAAGGGACACAACTCCACAAAGCAAATTGCAACTTGAACCCTAAGTCGCTCATGAGAAGGGCTGTGCTGGATTCAAGTCCTGAAAACTTATGAGAAAAAACAGAAATCCTCCCAAGCTACAAGATAATTATCGTGTTGTCATTACCGTGGTAATATTGAGTTTGCTCCATCTGGAAGAGGGGGTTTGGGGGGTGGGGAATCTTCAACGTCGAAGGAAAATATAGTGGGGTTGCTGAGGCCTTCGCTGGAGCGGGATACTGTAGCATTGTCATAGATACCCATGCCGCTCGTCTGTTCCAGGATCTCGCGTTCCCTCGGGGTCAGCGGGATGTCAGGAAGTGAGGAACGTTTGCTGCAAGGGAAGGTAGGTGTGGTGTATAACAAGGAATGTCAGGAAGCGAGGAACGCCTGCTGCAGGGGAAGGTAGGTGTGGTGTATAACAAAGGATGTCAGGAAGTGAGGAACGCCTGCTGCAGGGGAAGGTAGGTGTGGTGTATAACAAGGGATGTCAGGAAGTGAGTTACGCCTGCTGCAAGGGAAGGTAGGTGTGGTGTATAACTAGGGATGTCAGGAAGTGAGTTACGCCTGCTGCAAGGGAAGGTAGGTGTGGTGTATAACAAGGAATGTCAGGAAGCGAGGAACGCCTGCTCCAGGGGAAGGTAGGTGTGGTGTATAACTAGGGATGTCAGGAAGTGAGTTACGCCTGCTGCAAGGGAAGGTAGGTGTGGTGTATAACAAGGAATGTCAGGAAGCGAGGAACGCCTGCTCCAGGGGAAGGTAGGTGTGGTGTATAACTAGGGATGTCAGGAAGTGAGTTACGCCTGCTGCAAGGGAAGGTAGGTGTGGTGTATAACTAGGGATGTCAGGAAGTGAGGAACGCCTGCTGCAAGGGAAGGTAGGTGTGGTGTATAACTAGGGATGTCAGGAAGGGAGGAACGCTTGCCGCAAGGGAAGGTAGGTGTGGTGTATAACTAGGGATGTCAGGAAGTGAGTTACGCCTGCTGCAGGGGAAGGTAGGTGTGGTGTATAACTAGGGATGTCAGGAAGGGAGGAACGCTTGCTGCAAGGGAAGGTAGGTGTGGTGTATAACTAGGGATGTCAGGAAGTGAGGAACGCCTGCTGCAGGGGAAGGTAGGTGTGGTGTATAACTAGGGATGTCAGGAAGGGAGGAACCCTTGCTGCAAGGGAAGGTAGGTGTATTGTATAACAAGGGACTAGGGATGTTGCAATATTTGTTATTGCAGCAGTGTAAAGTTGAAAGATAATACGCAGAGAAAATATAATAATAATATCATATCTTAATGACTGATGAATGTTGTCACAATGAGTCATTTATGACATTAAATCTTAATTCAATTCATGTTGGAACAAATCTGTGCGAAAAAGTCTTCACTGTTCTGAAGTCATATGTCTGCTTGATTTTCAGTAGACTTCAGACTCAAAATTTCCTACACTCCACTTCTGACTGCAGTTAAAGACACGACGAGTTTATTCTCTTGTATACATCTCGTTCTCATTTTCAAAAAGCTATATCAGAAATCTATAGGCATCTCAAAGGGTGTGCAGTAAGCGAAGATGGCAGAGTCCATGCCCCTACCTCTCGAGTGTCCCCTGTAGGCTGGAGCTGGAGGTGGGGGACTTGGGCAGGCTGCTCTTCCGGGACGCCATCTTCTCTATACACAGCTGCGTCAGATCCTGGGTGGGAAACATTGGGATTTCGTAAAAAAATAAATTCATTCACCTTCGCTATTCTGAACATAAACAAAAATGATCAATCAAAAATAAGTTGCAAGTTATTCCATAACATTGATCGGCTAACCAAGCAATTATTATTGCCTTCATGCTTCCATAAACCGATAACCAATTAGGTCACGCCCACTAGTGGACCACTGTCTCCTGATTGTCTGATGACAGAGTGGGTGGGGATTGTGTTGCATAATTGCGGGAAAGATCTCACTTATTTCGTATCATCTGATATTTGTGTTACTGCTTGAACAGTCTTTGAAAGCACAGTTTCTTACGCTGACACCTTGGTAAATTAAAAACATATTGAAGACAATTCTTAAATGGATAGTGTTATCCATGTGATAAATGGATAGTGTTATCCATGTGATAAATGGATAGTGTTATCCATGTGATCCAATAAATATGCAAATGAGGTTGCTAAGCAGGAACTACTCCATCATTTTCAAAGATTTGCTCTATTCTAAGTTTCCAATCACATTTGAAAACATTTCATCGACAGTTGCAATACATACCTTTATCCCATCAGAGAGGGCAGCAATTATTTCATTGGCAGTCTCCTTGTTGAACGTGTCCTCACTCTTCATCAGCACGCTGTCCGACCATCGTATGAACTTGGCCAGGCACTGGCACACTTTGTTGTGATGGGAAGCCAGCTTTGAACTGTAACAGGGTAATAATTGTGTGAAACTATAACAACAGGAAGATATCTGGACACTGTCTGGCAAGATCATACTAATTTACATAACATTTCCTGTTTTTTTGTGTTTGGTATTTCATCTTCAGGCAACAAACAAATTCATGCCACATTATGGACCTAACACGTGCATAAAGTTTCAGTTTCCAATTCTTTTCTTTTTCAGATCATTTTAATACATATTAATTTTATATGAATGGAATGAACAAAACACAAACCCATTGTGTTGCTGCACATCATAACAAGGTTTCAGATTCATTGTCACGAGAAGGGGGTGGGGTGTTGTGGGGGGTGGGGTGGGGTGGGGTTGGGGTGGGGTGGGGTGGGGTTTGGGGTGGAGAGATTGGTCCGAGGACTGCATATCATATTATGCTGAACCCCCAATTTTAGGTAACATTTTTTTCAAGGTCCCCCATAGTTGTGACAAATTTTGTCAACCCACCCCACCCCTTTTGCTGTCAATTTTCAAAAGCACCCCTAACCCTATAATAAATTACCAGTCCCTGACTGCATGTCACCACTGTATGGTGTGGGTGTTGTTCATGATGTCAGCCACTGGTTTGTTTGGGGACACTTCTTCCCCTGACTTTACACAGGGAATGGGTGACGTAAAACCAAGCACAGAAACTACATCCAGCAGATGCTAATGTCAGTATGCAAGGGAGACAAAACCTAACGTTATAAACGGAAATGTCAACCTGAAAACACCCCAGTCTAATCATTGCCTTGCCATTTCCAGAATGTGTCATCCCACCCATTGCTTTCATTCAAATTGTTAATATTATCCATATAAAGGACAACATTCAACTTCAAACATAATCCAAATGATTCCTATGGGAAATACACTATTTTATATTACATTCACAACTCAAATTGCATTCACTTGAAGCCAAATGGGAGAAAAATGACAAAGTGAAAATGAATACCGCTTTGCACAAACCACAGCTAAATAATTATTTCTAAACAAAAATGTAAAGTTTTACAAAACAAATAACCACTTTGACTTCCTTCCAGTGACAAAACAACCCCATGGAATTGGGATTCAGATCTTTGTATATCTATGTCAGGTACAAACCACTATCAACAGAGTCAAAAGCAAACTTGTTGCCATGGAAACCAAAAAATATAAATTCCAAAAATCTCTAAGTAGCAAAAGTACTATTTGACACCCTGGTCTCTGTGCGTGCAAAGTGTCAGGGAATAATACCTATTAGTTTTAGAGATATGGTCCTACACAATACTATGAACAGAGTCAAAGTCAAACTTATTGCCTTGAAAATAGGATTTTTTTTACAGTTTTAAAAAAATTCCAAAATACAAAAATGCACGACTTCAGTCCTTGGTTAATACATGTAACAAGTTTGGTATTGGCTTGTGACACAGGTTCAGATTAAAAATTGTACTTGTAATGGCCTAATACTTCCTCCCCTGCAGTACATTATCTTCAGCCAACATCATTTGAAAACCTTGAGTTTCAGTACTCTGATTGTCCGGAAACCTACCCCTACAAACACATATGGCACAAAGGACACGAACACATATGGGACACATGATACAAACATACGGCACACAGGACACAAACACATACGGCACACAGGACACAAACACATACGGCACACATGACACAAACACATACGGCACACAGGACACAAACACATACGGCACACAGGACACAAACACATACCCCACACAGGACACAAACACATACCCCACACATGACACATACACATACCCCACACAGGACACATACACATACCCCACACAGGACACAAACACATACCCCACACATGACACATACACATACCCCACACAGGACACATACACATACCCCACACAGGACACAAACACATACCCCACACAGGACACAAACACATACGGCACACAGGACACAAACATATACCCCACACAGGACACAAACACATACGGCACACAGGACACAAACACATACCCCACACAGGACACAAACACATACGGCACACAGGACACAAACACATACCCCACACAGGACACAAACACATACCCCACACAGGACACAAACACATACCCCACACAGGACACAAACATATACGGCACACAGGACACAAACACATACGCCACACAGAACACAAACACATACCCCACACAGGACACAAACACATACCCCACACAGGACACAAACACATACGGCACACAGGACACAAACACATACGGCACACAGGACACATACACATACGGCACACATGACACAAACACATACCCCACACAGGACACAAACACATACCCCACACAGGACACAAACACATACTGCACACAGGACACAAACACATATGGCACACAGGACACAAACACATACCCCACACAGGACACAAACACATACCCCACACAGGACACAAACACATACGGCACACAGGACACAAACACATACGGCACACAGGACACATACACATACCCCACACAGGACACAAACACATACGGCACACAGGACACAAACACATACCCCACACAGGACACAAACACATACCCCACACAGGACACAAACACATACGGCACACAGGACACAAACACATACGGCACACAGGACACAAACACATACCCCACACAGGACACAAACACATACCCCACACAGGACACATACACATACCCCACACAGGACACAAACACATACCCCACACAGGACACATACACATACCCCACACAGGACACAAACACATACGGCACACAGGACACAAACACATACGGCACACAGGACACATACACATACGGCACACAGGACACAAACACAGGACACATACGGCACACAGGACACAAACACATACGGCACACAGGACACAAACACATACCCCACACAGGACACAAACACATACCCCACACAGGACACATACACATACGGCACACAGGACACAAACACATACGGCACACATGACACAAACTCATACGGCACACATGACACAAACACATACGGCACACATGACACAAACACATACCCCACACAGGACACAAACACATACGGCACACAGGACACAAACACATACCCCACACAGGACACAAACACATACCCCACACAGGACACATACACATACGGCACACAGGACACAAACACATACGGCACACAGGACACAAACACATACGGCACACAGGACACAAACACATACGGCACACAGGACACAAACACATACGGCACACAGGACACAAACACATATGGCACACATGACACATACACATACGGCACACATGACACAAACACATACGGCACACAGGACACAAACACATACGGCACACAGGACACAAACACAAACGGCACACAGAACACAAACACATACGGCACACAGGACACAAACACATACCCCACACAGGACACAAACACATACGGCACACAGGACACAAACACATACGGCACACATGACACAAACTCATACGGCACACATGACACAAACATACGGCACACATGACACAAACACATACGGCACACATGACACAAACACATATGGCACACATGACACAAACACATACTGCACACATGACACAAACACATACGGCACACATGACACAAACACATACGGCACACAGGACACAAACACATACGGCACACAGGACACAAACACATACGGCACACAGGACACAAACACATATGGCACAGAGGACACATACACATATGGCACACATGACGCATACACATATGGCACACATGACACAAACACATACGGCACACATGACACAAACACATACGGCACGCAGGACACAAACATATATGGCACACAGGACACAAACACATATGGCACACATGACACAAACACATACCCCACACAGGACACAAACACAGGACACATACGGCACACAGGACACAAACACATACCCCACACAGGACACAAACACATACGGCACACAGGACACAAACACATATGGCACACAGGACACAAACACATATGGCACACAGGACACAAACACATACCCCACACATGACACAAACACATATGGCACACAGGACACAAACACATACCCCACACAGGACACAAACACAGGACACATACGGCACACAGGACACAAACACATACCCCACACAGGACACAAACACAGGACACATACGGCAGACAGGACACAAACACATATGGCACACAGGACACAAACACCTACCTGTCCTGGTTGAGCAGGTGGTTGCTCAGCAGGGTAAAGACGTTCATGACTGTCTCCAGGACTAGCGTGGCTGACGGCGGCAACACCTCATGCTTCCCCTGCGTCACCACGGCGCGGACGATGAAGTTGAGGGTGCGATTCACCTCCTCCACCTCCATCTGCAGCTTGTCCGCCTCCTGCAACACAAAATAATAACTTTGTTTAACCCACATCATCACAATGTTTAACCCACATCCTCACAATGTTAAACCCACATCATCACATTGAATAACCCACATCCTCACAATGAATAACCCACATCCCCACAATGAATAACCCACATCCTCACAATGAATAACCCACATCCTCACAATGAATAACCCACATCATCAATGTTTTAACCCACATCATCACAATGAATAACCCACATCATCACAATGAATAACCCACATCATCACAATGAATAACCCACATCATCAATGTTTAACCCACATCATCACAATGCTTAACTCACATCATCACAATGCTTAACTCACATCATCACAATGCTTAACCCTTATTCCCACAATGTCTAACCCACATTATCACAATGTTCAACTCAAATAATGTGACCAATCTTCGAGCGAGCTGACAAAGTTGCTATTTTCTTGAATAGCACAACACAACATCCCACTTTCAAGTAACATCATCATTCACATGTTCTTGGAGTAATCTCTAACCAAACAGAATTGTGACACTTGTTGCCACTTAACGGCTACCTCAACTTTCACATATATACAGCTGAAGAATATATATACCGTATCCGACGTAATAAGCGCCCCGCTCTAATAAGCGCCCATGGCGATATTTGCTGATATATTGGCTAGTGAACAATCCCAATTAGCACTCCTTCCAATTGATCAATGTACACAATCCTTATTTATTCGCGTTTAATACACACTCGTGTGTTATATTCACCCTTAATTATGGGGAATTTAATTCTGGAAAAATATATCTATCGTGCATAAACATTTCAGGCTGTCAGCATAAACCACGAAATTTATCTTTCAACTCTGTTTTTTTTCCACCAAAATAATATTCTAATAACAGCCCCCTATTCCTAATTTTGAGAGCGCCCTGGGCGCTTATTACGTCGAATACGGTATATATTAATACTACTGTATCACCTAAAATCTGCATCGATAGAAATTCCCTCGCGTTATTGGCTTGGTTCAGATTAGAAATTGTTCTTGTAATGGCCTAATACTTCCTCCCCTGCAGTACATTATCTTCAGCCAACATCATTTGAAAACCTTGAGTTTCAGTACTCTGATTGCTGGTGTGATAGAGAGGTCACGGAAGTGTACCAGAAAGTCCTGTGAGATAACAGAGACGTAGTCAACACCTGGGGATTATCTCTGTGATATGGTATCGCTGGTGCATATTGTGAAAATATCTCACAATAATCCCCCAGATTAGAATCCCCTGTCTGCAAACCCAGGAACCTCAATGAATGTTGAAGTCTGGCTTGACAGTGAAACCTTGTCAGTGGACCCAATAAGGTCCATATCTATTTTCTGTGTTTCTCATCTCCAGCCTACAGTGAATTTTCATTCTGACAGGAAATAATAAAGTTTTATTATCTCAATATTGCCCACCGCTGTGGAAATTTATGCCCTAATTACCCCTACAGTTGCACATTAAAAAAACGCTTGATCTTTCTTTGGCCATATTTATTAACACATTTTTCAAAGCAAAGCGATTTAATCTACATCATAAATTAATTCAAGAAATGTTACCAAGAGTTCTCAACTTCAAAATTTCATATTTTATTTTTTTTGCCTGCCCATCCACTCTCTTGCTGGTTGAGGTATGAGATAACAAACACATAAAAAATATGGCTGGCCTAACCTGGACACCTTGCCTTTCTGATGGGAACACCAAAACTTACATCACACCATAGTTACCAACAAGCTGTTTATCTGGGTCCATTCCACAAAGCGATCGTAGCACTATGACAGTCGTACGTCTATGTTAATGTATGGGAGTGTGGACTGACGATCCCTCAGGGATATGTTACAATCTAAACTGTACTGGTGTTTAATGAGGCTCAAGATGGATCACACGGGCTTTCTAAATATTTGGTCACTTTCAAAAATTGTAAAATAATATCAAATTCTTCTTAGCTTTTTGTGTGCTGTTTACATGCGTCATGGTGAAATATCAGGTTATGTGTTACTCTACATTTGAGTGAGTGTGGTTTTAGAAATGATCCAGAAATATTCCTTGTGGGGAATCGAACCCAGGCATCCGGCGTGATGAGCAAACACTTTAATCACAGGGCTACCCTGCCGCTCCCTTACATTATGTAATGTGCTACATCAGGGATTTATTTAACAAGAGATTCGTATGTAGCCAGCAGGGTTTGCTCTTTTCAAAAGTTACTGGCCCTTCTCCGAAATAACTGGCCCCAAACTCAATGTTGGAGGCCACGACTGAGTTACCCAGGGGGCTCTGGAAATGTAAGAACTCCTCACCCATAAAATGTCCTTTCCTGCACTCTGACATTAAATGTTGGCTTCCATTTGCCCAATTTCATGACGATTCATGAGCAAATAAAGAATTTGTTGTTCAGAAAATTACAAAATGGTCGCTGGTTATGTCATTCTACTGAGATGATCTTTGAGTTAACCATTCACACGACCTTATTGCCCCTAAATATATTCTCATTGCAATTACACGATTTACAAGCAGTGTTTGTTTGTTGTTTAACGCCGCACTCAGCAATATTCCAGCTATATGACGGCGGTCTGTAAATAATCAATCTGGATCAGACAATCCAGTGATTAATATCATGAGCATCGATCCACGTAATTGGAATCGATGACATGCATCAACCAAGTCAGCGAACCTGACCACCCGATCCCATTAGTCGCCTTTTACAACGAGCATAGTTGCCTATTATGGCAAGCACGGATTGCTGAAGGCCTATTCTACCCAGAATCTTCACGTGTCATTTCAACAATTGAACATACACAGAGAATGGGTGAAATTTTGATTAACGTTTCAGCAAGACTTTCATAATTTTAAGTGGCCATGGGCCAACAGACCAGCAGATAAAAATCGAAAATTAGTTCAAGCGTTCGCTCGTCACGCTGAAGACCTGGGTTCGATTCCCGACATGGGTACAATGTGTGAAGCCCATTTCTGGTGTCCCCCGCCGTGATATTGCTGGAATATTGCTAAAAGCGGCGTAAAACCATATTCACTCACTCACTCCAGCTCCAGAACACCGGTTTGTAAATAATAGAGTCTGGGCCCGACAATCCCCTGATTGATATAATAAGCAATGCTCTATGCCATCAGAGTAGGATGACATGTCTGAAACGTATAACCATCTGATCACTCGGAGTATGTTTCTGGGGTCTAATACTAGCCCGGAATCTCCACTTGGTCAAGCGGATTACAAATATCTCACGGACATGCCACCTTGACTGTCCAGGACACAGATAGACCTGACTGGCCCAACCCAGTAGTAAAACTACTACAGAATAGATTCTCTTGAGATTAAAAGGAAACATACGCACTCTGGTATTTCCACAGAGTTGATAAATTCTTGTTGTTTAACGCCCCACTTAGCAATATTCCAGCTATATGACGGAGATCTTTCATCTGCCGATCGAGTCTGGACCAGACAATCCTGTGATTGACATCATGAGCATCGATCCACATAATCAGAACATGATGACATGCATCAACCATGTCATTAAGCCTGACTGCCCGATCCATAAGTTGCTGGGGACCTATATTCCTACCCAGAATCCCCGTGGGCACAACCTTATGCACTTGTTCACCTTGCTGTAGGTGAGGTGAGGTGAGGTGAAATGGGGTTTAACGTCGCGTCCAAGATTATTGCACTTATATAACGACGTGCATGTACGTGTGTGTGTTTGTGTGGCTGCTTGTACTAGTCCAGACTGATGCCGATTTATAGTGCTAGCTCACTGAGATACCATGCCGCAGTTTAACATGAATATCCCACTCAGACACAGTATACTGACTCCAAGCCGACCAGTCCTTGTTTTAGCCCCTTAATGCCCAGCGCCAGACAGGGTAACAACAAGTACCATCTTTTAACGTCTTTTGGTATGACGCGGCTGGGGATCAAACCCCGGACCTTCCCCTCTCCGGGCGGACGCTCTACCACTAGACCACGGAGGCGGTCCCTTGCTGTAGGACCATCTTAGACAGGAATGTTAGAAACTTGCTCTCCATGTGACTAATAGTACATACCTAGTCTTTCATTTTGATGTTAAAAATGTGAAACTTGTTGAAAATTATTCAATTCATGTATTGAGCATTTATTTATTAAAAATCATCCCTCTTAAGTTTCATTACCTCCGTATAATATGATAGTTATTGTTCTTATAAACAATTTGGAATAATTTCAACCCAAGGCTTTGCTATATATAAAAGAAAGAAAATGATCATTCAATAACTTTCTGGGTCAGTAGTATGACTAATAGTTTAAACGCTTAATCAACAACGAAATTGACAGATAAATACAAATAATTCATTCAGTAAACAATTTCTGTTTACACCCTGAAAATATAAAATAGTGTTTTTCAGCGGCAGAAACTAACATTTTGAGTCCACTAGTCCTTATAATGATAGCATATAGCAAAACCCTTGCAAATGGGAAATTTCAACTAATCCTTATGATACCTTAACTATTAGCAGTTAGGCAAGGACTACAGGACTAGTGCCAATTTCTAACAGTTTTCACATTGAAACATCTCACCAAATGATTCAGTTGCATTTTTTTTTTTAACATTAACATAAGTTTTTAAAATGGCACCCCCTTCTGGATCTGTGCATGCAGTAATAAGCTGTTTCATTTATTACTGTAAATTTTTGGTCTAAGGATTTGTATTCCAGAAACGGCATAATGCATAATGCTCAGAGGGAGATAGCAAGCATTAGTCATCAAGTAGGAGCGTGCATAACATCACGTCATAGTATCGACAGAGTCCAATATCATAAACAATCGACTGTACTAAAACTCCAGCGCCCGGGCCAGGTGGGACCAACATTGCCGGTTTATATTACCAACAGCAAATGTTGGCTATAAATACATGTTCAATGGAAGTGCAGTTGGCGGTACGCTGATACGGATGTTATACCACTTGAAAGTGATTATGTAACATTGTTTCAAGCA